GCTGACACATATGATACCATGTGGCGAGTTCTATAAGAACAGCATGTTCAGGTACAAATGCCTGTAGACTCCCTTGGCCTGTTTAGCCTGGAGATCTAGCTAGGGACACAGAGAGGGCTGTGGGATAGAAAGGAACTGGCCAAAAACATGTCTTTTAAATACTGACTCAGAGACTGTACAAGCAGTAGAAACAAATTGGGAACTTGCAGCTTTAAAAATTAATCCATATTTACAGACTGTGAATTTCTGCGTAGAGGCAGCCATTTTAAAGTCAGTAAGGGGAGGCAGTGAGTGAACTAGAAACTGAGATCTGAATTCTAGTTTTGTGTCTGCCTCTAAACAGCTATGTAACCTTGGTCAAGATTCTTGATTTCTCTGTGCCATTGTTTCCACAATTGTAAAGCAGAAGGCTAAAGTGGTATTCTTTGTTTTCTTCCAGCTTGAAAGGAATGTTATGTCTGAGAACTAAGTAATTGGTATAAAAAAAAANAAAAAAAAATAGATGTGAATTCAAATGTATGAGAGAATACAGCAGGCTTGAAGGGTTGGGAGAATATAGGTTTGAGCAAGATCTTAGTAAACTATAAGGTGTGCTACCAATGTGTGATGCTCAAAGCTTGCTTATATTTAGTCCCTTGGCAGAAAAGACCTCTGATCTATCGAACTACACCTTTGTACAACAGGAAAAACCCACCCAATACTTGACCAACCAGGAAATGTAGGGATCATTTTTGAGACATGGGGAAACTTCGATGATTTGCAAATCATGTAATCAATCATGATTTCTTTGAGTTTGGAATTTGGTCAGTTTATGTTTCTGATCATCACCCCCCTATGCTCTTGCTTGGTTACAGTAATTCCTATCACCCCACCTGTGGAGTATTGTTTCCCAGTGTCTGGCACCCCCAGCTCATTAACAAGATGAAATCATAGGTGAGTCTAGACTCATGGAAAGTCCCATGATTATTATTCCCACGGACACCTCCTTTCAGATGATTTCCCCTACAACATAACTTTGTTTCCTTACAACTTCCCTTTACTTCCTGATTCTCTCCTTAATTCTGCTGCTGTAACCCTAATCAAAAGTCTCCAGAAGAGAATCACATTCATACTTCAAGAAGACACCCTCCAAGGAGAACATTCATCCTCTGCAAAAGCAGTTTCTGGAAACAATTCCCCCCTTAAAAAAAAAAAAAAAAAAAGTCCAGGGCACTTACCTTGTTAGCATAGAGCAGATACTTTGACTTAAATTATCTCTCAATGCCAATTAGCCAAAGATAGTGTTTGTCTTAAAAACAAAAACAAAAACAAAAGAATCCCCCCAAAAAACTCCAAAAAGCAAGCTCCAACCCCAATTTTTTGTTTTAAAAGAAAAATAAACAGAATGCTGACTTTTCATCAAAGTGCTCTCAGTTTAAAACAAAAGCCAGCCCTCTGTCCTGTCATACTGGTGACAGCCGGAAGTATACTAAGGAATAAAAGTTGTGTAGGACATGAATTTATACTTCCGTGATCGCAAGGGAGAACAGAATGACTAGTTAGAATCCGGCTTCCGGATTGGAAGGACGTACGGGACTTCTGTCCCTTTCCCCCACCCTCCTGAACGTCACAGTTCCGGAAAAGCCCTAGAATTTACGGAGAAGCACGCGGGCAGCAGCGCTCTCGTCATTGTCGCCTCTAGAGGGCGCCAAGTCACCCCAAATCACAGCCTTCTCAGTGAACCAGGCGGGTCCGCTCTGGAAACAAACTTCTAAACCCTGACACTTATTAGTCTCTTGAACCATCATCAAAGGAGAAAGTAATTTAAGTGACTGGTAAATTCTTCCGTGTCTGGAATTCTCTAAACCTGGAAGTGTGATTTTAAAATTCAGAATTTACAAGGAATTTATGTAGTATCATCCTTCACGAGGGGTCAGCAGAGGGAGCTGGTAAAATGTTTGAGAAAGCATAAACTTATTTTTTAGGTATTAACCTAGGACACAAGACGAACAATAATTATAGAAGCAGTGGCAGTGATAGAATACTAAGTAAGCATCTTTTTAAATTTTATTTTTTTTCCGCTGAATGTTTGGAAGCTAACATAACAGACCATCTTAGGTTTTATGTTTAGGGACAATTTCCAACATGGTTCATTGAACAGTATCTGAACCAGGAGTCACAAAGGCAAATGTCTATAGGAGTGAGGAAAGTAACGTAAGTGACCAAAGTGGGTCAGAGAAGATCTGACCAGAAGGCACATTCCGTGCAGCTCTGTGTTGCTATTTGAGCATGAGCCCAGTATTGCAAGGCCTTAGGCTCTTTCCAGTGGAAGCTGCAAATCCAAATCTTAATATGAAATCTTCTGTTGGCAGCGAAATAATTTTTTTCTTTTGAAAAATATCAAGTGCATAGAAAAGTTAATAGTTTTCATTAGTGAACGCCAATGTATCCCTCATCCATATTCTTATTACTGTAATAATAGAGGTTACCAACTATTAACCTCTTGGTACATTCTCTCTCTCTCTCTCTCTCTTTCACACACACACACACACACACACACACACACACACACACACACACACACACACACACACACACACCCCTTTTGCCAAACCATCTGAAAGTAATCTGCAAACATCAGGATTCCATCAGGTTATTTCAGCAGAATCTCACAAGAAAGGTCACTCTTCCACATAAGCACATTACCATTACTACATCTAAGAAAGTCAATATAAATTTAATAATATCATTTAACATACAGTATTTTTAAAAAATTTCTCCAACTGTCTCCAAAAATGTTCTTATCTAGGGGCATGCTGGAGCTGGCTTATACAGAGAGAATCCAACTCCGAGTTCAGTAATATCACGTGACATTAGTCATGGTGGGAATATTTGTACCATGGAAATTGGCAAACAGTAAAAATCATCTCCCTCCACCCTGAGCCAGTTGTTAAACATTTACCATGACACCGCTCTTTTTTCTAAAACAGCTTTATTGAGGTACAATTGATATACAAGAAACTTCACATATTTACTGCATACAATTTGATGAGTTTGGACATATGAATGCACCCATGAAACCATCACCACAATGAGGATAATAAACATGTGAATCACCTCCAGAAGTTTCCTCATTCCCCCCTGCTTTTTTTTTTTTTTTTTTTTTTTTTTGCTTCTGGTAAGAACACTTAACACGAGATCTACCCTTTTAACAATATTTTTAAGTGCACAATATGGTATTGTTAACTATAGGCACTATGTTGCACAGCAGATCTGTAGAATTTATGCACCTTCCATAACTGAAACTTTATGACCATTGTACAGCTCCCCATTTCCTTCTTCTCCCAGGCCCTGCCAACCACCATTCTACTCTCTGCTTCAGTGAATTTAGCTATTTTAGATACCTCATGTTAGTAAAATCATGCAGTGTTTATCTTTCTGTGCCTGGTTTATTTCACTTAGCATAATGTCTTCCAGATTCAAGCATCTTACTGCATATAACAGGTTTTCCTTCTTTTTAAAGGCTGAGTAATATTCCATTTTTTATATGAATATGTCCCATATTTTCTTTATTCTTTCATCTGTTGATGGACATTTAGGGTGTTTTCATAATTTGGTAATTGTGAATAATGCTACAGTGAACATGGGAGTGCAGATATCTCTTTGAGATCTGGCTTTCAGTTCTTTTGGATACACACCAAGAAGTAGGATTGCTGGATCACATGGTAGTTCTGCTCAGATTTTTAATTTTTTGAGGACTCTCCATACTATTTTTCATAGCAGCTGCACAATTTTACATTCCCACCAATAGTGTACAAGAATTCCCATTTCTCCACATCCTTGCCAACATTTGTTATGTCTTTTTCTTTTTCCTTGAAAATAACCATCCTAACCAGTGTAAGGTGATATTACCTTATGGGGTATCAATTGCGTTTCCCTTATTATTAGTGATGTTGAGCACCTTTTCATATGCCTGTTGCCTATTTGTATGTTTTGTCTGGAGAAATGCTTATTCAAGCCCTTTGCCCATTCTTAAATCAGGTTATTTATTTTTATTTTTTTGCTGTTAACCTCTTATCAGATGTATGGTTTGCAAATATTTTCTCCCGTTCCACAGGTTGCCTTTTCATTCTGTTCATTGTTTCCATTCCTGTGCAAAAACTTTTTAGTTTGATGTAGTCTTACTTGTCTATTTTTGCTTTTGCTGCCTGTGCTTTTGGTGTCATAGCCAAGAAATCATTGCCAAAAACAATGTTGAGAAGTTTCTCCCTATGCTTTCTTCTAGGAATTTTATAGTTTTAGGTCTTACATTTAAGTATTTAATCCATTTTAGTTGATTTTTTGTGTATGGTATAAGATGAAGGTTCAATTTCATTTTTTGCATGTGGATATCCAGTTTCCTAGCACCATTTATTGAAGAGGTTATCCTTCCCCATTTTATGCACTTGGCACACTTATCAGTTGACCCTAAATTTTTAAATTTTGGGGGGGACTCTCTATTCTGTGTTAGTATGGTATGTCATATTAATTGATTTGCATATATTAAACCACATACCACTCTTATAGTTACATTTTAATTGATTTGCATATATTAAACCACATACCACTCTTATAGTTACATTTTTTTCTGACGATGGAGCAAATTAGTTTACAAATCGCATTTAGCTGCTAGGTCTCTTTAGTCTGCCCTATTCTGTAACAGTTTTACAGCCTCCAAAGAGCCTAGTCTAAGATTGGTCCATATTATCTAGTTTGCTACTGCTGGAATTATTCTCCTGAAATAGTCTCCTTACTTTCATTTGCTCCCCTGCAATTCTAAAATCATAAATTAGATCATATCACTCTGACATGTAAAGTGTTAGCTGATAGGAATGCATGACCAAGAAGAGTTTTCAAAAAATGGGAAATATTATAGCATTTATATATTGTAAAGATTGATCCAGTAGCAAGAAAAAAAAAAGTCAACCACTTGAGAGGGCAATTATAGGAGTGACATCCTCAGGGAGGTGCAAAGGGTGGGATCCAGACCATTAGTGCAGAAATTGACCTTAGGAGTGCAGATAGCTTGTCCTTAGTAACAGGAAAGAGGGTACATGGGCACCACAGCAGATAGATTGGGAGATGTGGTGGTGGCAATCTGTTAAGTTCTCTGGTAATTGTTACTATTCTCTCATTTGAGAGCGAGGTGGGAAGGAAGTGGTGGAGATTTGTTGTGAGAAGAAGTGATGTAAAATAGTCATCTGGGAGATCAGATTGGGAAGTGAAGGAATTAGAGAAATCTAGCAGGATTTGGGGACAGTAGGATAGTCATGAGTTGAGGAGTGGTCAGTTCGGGTGCTGAGTGTTTTTCCTCTACCTATGGTGAAGTATTCGGGTGAAAGTTTGAAGTAGGTGGAGAGTTTGACCAGAGTTGGAGTTCTGCTGTGCAAGTATGAATGAGTAAGAGGGGACAATGGAGTTGAAAGCGTATGCAAATGTGACATTATATAATTGTAGACTCTAAGCTGAGTAATGAGAGAAATGAGAAAATGTGGGGAGGTGGACAGTGCGAGATGGTAGGGTGTCTGGATTGGAAGTCCCAAGAATTTGAAAGAATATTGTAGGGGCTGGCCAGTTTGCTCAGTCGGTTAGAGCGCAGCCTTATGACCCAAAGGTCATGAGTTCAGATCCCTGTACTGACCAGCCAGCCATCAAAAACAACAACATTGTATTAGAAAAAGCTAGCTGGAAAAATATGATCTGGTGGGTGGAGAGTGGGAGGCTTGTGATTTAGACCGTGGAGGGTTGCACTTGTTGAGAATGACAAGGTCAAGATCTGTACTAACACAAGAGCCACAAGCTTTATATAGCTATTTAAATTTAAATTAATTAACATTAAATAAAATTAAAGATTCATTTCCTTATTGACACTAGCCACATTTCAGGTGCTTAACAGCCACATGTTGCTAGCAGCTACCACATCGGAGAGTGGAGATTAAGCATTTTCATGAGGGCAGGAAGTCCCACTGGATGGCTGTGGTCTAGTGTATGAAGACAGTCGTGGGTGGCAGAGACAAGGTGGAGGATAGGATCATCGGTGGTGACTCAGGCTAAGAAACTGAGAGGATATGACATGGAAGGATTGCACGCTTGATTTTAAAATCACTGAGAATTGTGACGGGAGTAGAAATGAAGACAGAGACATTGAGTCAGAGATCCATTTAAGGGATAAGGTAGGTTGACTTGGATGTCAGCAGATTCTGTAGATGACTGCAGCAGAGTCATCTGAGTGTGATGGCCTGAGGTTTAAAGGAGCTGGAGTTCTAGGGAGAAGGGG